GGGGGGGGGCTTGGAGGATGCATTTAAAGTTAAGTGGAAAGTGTTGTCAAACTGCAGCCGACTTAAGGCAAAGAGACATACAGAGGGGGTTTGCCATTCCCTGCCTCTGCCTAGCAACCCTGGACTTCCCTGGTTGTCTCCCATCCAAGTAATAACCAGGTCTGACCCTGCGTAGCAGCTGAGATCTGATGTGATTGGGTGAACTTGGGCTGTGTGCGGGAACACATCCATCCCACCTTAAAAGCACTGCACTGGCTGCCAATAGCATACCGGATTCGGTTCAAGGTGCTGGTTCTTACCTTTAAAGCCCTATATGGTCGGGAACCTACTTACCTAAGGGACCGCCTATCTCCATATGTGCCCCAGAGAACACTAAGATTGGGATCCCGAAATCACCTGGTTCTCCTGGGCCCTAAAGAGGCCAGGTTGGCCACAACGAAGGCCAGGGCCTTTTCTGTGATGGCCCCTCACTGGTGGAATGAGCTCCCGGATGACATCAGGGCCCTGCGGGGCCTATTGAAGTTCCGCAGGGCCTGTAAAACAGAGCTCTTCCGCCAGGCTTTCAAGTAGGGGTCGCCTTAACGTCATGGCCCTGGCCTTTACACCAACATCACCACCAGTAGGACAGCTAACAGCCTGGCAGGAGCTTGGATTAGGATGGAGGCGACCACTCAATATTGATAGAATGTCGCCAACTTTTATCACAGCATGTGCTGAGCTGCTATGTTTTATATTGTAATTTTAATTGATCTTATTTATGCGTATTATGGAGTTTTAATGTATACATCGATATGTATGTTGTTAGCTGCCCTGAGCCCACCATATGGTGGGGAGGGTGGGATATAAATTTAATAAATACATAAATCCACATCAGGGCGGACACACATTTACGGTGGTGGAAAGGGCTGTGAAGTCACAGGCGACCCGTGGCAATCCCATGGGGTTTCCAAGGCAAGAGACTATTGGGTGTGGTAAATAAGGAAGCCAGAGACCAACTGGTAGAGAAAGATGCAGAAAGTTTACTAGCAAGATAATGGTGACTATTTACACAGATAATATACAGACTGATACACAGCATAACATACCTCGGTTGGAGAGAGCCAATTCTCCCAACCCAGCTTATCAAGCTTACAGTATATATACAGATCCCATCCAATCACTAACAGGGCAGACTAATTACCCACTCTTAACTAGGACAAAGAGTAGCACCTGGTAGTTTAACACCTGGATGTAAGATCATTAACCACTCAGTATGACAGCCATGACTTATACACTAGATCATTCTGATCTACACTCAGTAACAGCTTTCTACCTTACTATAACCTAGACATACATGTCAATAGAAACTTCAGCGGCGGTTTGCCCTTGCCTGCCTCTGTGTCGCGACCCTGGACGTCTTGAGTGGTCTCCCATCCAAATACTCACCCGGGCCAACCCTGCTTAGCTTCCAAGGTCTGATGAGATCGAGCTAGTCTGGGCTGCAGCTGAGTTTTGAAATATGTGGTGGTGGAAAGTGCCATGAGGTATTCAAAGACGTTCTGGGGTTGGTTTGCCCTTGCCTGCCTCTGCAGAGCAACCCCGGACTTCCTCGGTGGTCTCCCATCCAAATACTAACCAGGGCCAACCTTGCTTAGCTTCCGAGATCTGACGGGATCGAGCTAGCCCGGGCCATCCAAGCCCGGGGCCAGAGCTATTTTTCCTTTCATAAATAATATAATCTCTGTATATAGTTGTCCTCAATGCAGAGATGGTAATCGGCTAGATCTATAGGCGTCTACAGATTTTCAAAGTGCCCCAGTATTAAAATGCTGTGTTTATTCAGTGCCTACATCGTAGCTCTGTACAGGTTCAGACTGGAGAAGAACATTAAACGTGTCACAGAAGAAGAAGAAGGAGGAGGAGGAGGAGGAGGAGGAGGAGATTAGATTTATACCCCGCCCTTCACTACTCAAAGGTGTCTCAGAGCGGCTTACAAACTCCTTTCCCTTCCCCTCCCCACAACAGACACCCTGTGAGGTGGGTGGGGCTGAGAGAACTCTGACACAAACTGCTCTTTTTCAAGGACAGCTGTGCCAGAGCTTGTGACTAACCCAAGGTCA